GTTCCGCAGGTATCTCCATAGGAACTGCTATATTTGTTACAGGAGGAACAGCTTCATCTCCGTAAGCATTATTTCGTTTTTTCCGGTATCCGTTGGATTTTACCAAAGCTGGAAAAGCATGCAGTTGAGAAGTTTGTGCTGCAGACTGTCCAATAGGTACTGCCATAGCTAAAGCTGGAACGATAGCTTTCACTGAAAAAAATTCAGTTAGGAAGTACTATGTAATAAGTGAATTCCGATGGAAGAAATTGACACTTTATACAATTTTTCTAATTATTTTTCCACGATTATTTCTCTTTTTTGAGAAATTTGTATAGTGTTTTCAAAATATATTTCTTTGAAAATACTATACAATCTTCTCAGAAAGGAGAGAATTCCTGGTAACTTTTCGGATTTTTTGGAAGTTTTCAGATATGATAGAAATCGTGATATTGGTTTATATATTTCTTAATATCTAGTGAAAAAAAACCATTTCTGCTTATCATTATCCGACAATTCTATCTTCCTAAAATCTAAAATATGATTTAAAAATGTCATTTTAAAGAAGAAGGCAGACATTAGACAAACTGGTTTGTAATATTTTTACATTATTTACTCTTCTTTTTAAATATTTTACCTGTTTACTACTATGAATGATATGAAGAAATTTCCTCAAAGCATATTGAAATGTATGAACAAATTTATCGATTTTATATTTTTCCTCATTTCTTATTCCTCAACAAAAGATATTTTCCATAAAACTAAATATATTTATAATTAAGAGATAAATAAGATTAAGAGCAAGGAAAAAAAAAACATACATAATTGTGATGGTACATTGAAAAAGAATAATATCGATAGTAGAATAATAGTAATTGAATTCATCACTGCTATTACTTCTACGTGTTGTTGTTGTTGTTGTTGTTGTTGCTCCTTTTCTATAATAAAAGTCAATTTATGAGATAGTTAAGAAAACTTCAAATGGTACTATATTTTAGTAGGGATAGAACTGGAATGGAAGTATTTTGTCGCAGTTTCTTATATAGGGGAAATGGAAAGCATAGAGCTAATTGTAATTGGTGCTCCGGTCTATCACTTTTAATTATCATTTTCTCTCTTCCTCTTTCATTTTCACTTCATTTCTGTACATCTCTTGTTTTTTTCTTTTTTTTTTTTGTTTTTTTCTGAATTTTTCAATTTGCTGAACTGGTTAAAGTTAATTTTTTATTTACCAAAAACGAGAATACTCTTCATTTTCTTAGATTGTTAAATGTGTTACTTTCTATCTATATGCACTTTTTTTGCAACTCGTTTCTTTCAAAGTATTCAATTTGATTATTAATAGAGAAATAAATTAAGGAATGAGCAAAGATGAATTAATATGAAAAGGTGAAGATTTTTTTTTAAAAAGAATAAAATTTCTTAAAAGTGAATGAAAAGTTTCATTTGCTGGAAAAAAAATTTCCGTTTGTCAGTGAAGGAATTAAATTGTAGTGTTGCAGAATACATAGAGGATTGAAAAAAAGATTTACAGCTGAAAAATGTGTATATTTTTGTTCTCTTTTTTTAAAACAGTTGCATTCTTTATAAATGTTTAATTTGGACAAATGATAAGTAGTTTTGAATCAACAACCTGTTTCTTTTTTTCTCTTTCTAAATTTAAATTTTCACAACTTACGCCAATACTTGGAATATAAACACTCATTAGAACAACTAGAAGATGAAGAAAATTTTATTATGAAAAGTTACATTTGTGAGGTCCATAAAGAAATTAAAATCTTAGATGGACATGAATAGGCGCTTTTTTTAAATGAATTTTTTGATCACAAAAATGTTGAACGAACGGATTCGTTTAATTATTTTTAATTCATTAGCCTGAGAACCACAATTTAAATTAGTAATTTGTTTTTATTCTCTCTCTCTCTCTCTCTCTCTCTCTC